CCACCACCCGCTTTTTCGACGTATTTCACTCTCTTTCGTTATATTAATTATTTTAACGTTCTCTCTCACCTTTCACTCACACCTCCACCAACTTTGACCCGTCGCACCTCTCCCCTCTCCTCCTCCTACCCACCCCCACCCCCATCCACACCAACCATCTATTTTCCGTCCTATCTCACTCTCTTTCGTCCTCTCTCACCTTCTTTCGTCTTCTCTCACCCCCGTCTGCTGAAAGTGTCCGATGGTCACTCAGGGTCGTGACCTTGACAATCCAGTCATCAATGCGGTAGGCTTTGAATTGGGAATCTTCAAAATGTACCTTGAAACAAACAAAACAATATTATTAGCGTTGAGTATTAGGTCATTGTGTGATACGATCAAAAAAATTATATCCTTATTTTGATACTTACCTCACACAATCGCGAAGAGATGGTCGGTGTCCACTTATCTCGTCGCATATTGTCAACCCATTTTGTTCCACGTTTACCCTTCGGGAACGAGAAGAGCTTATAGCCCTTGTCAACCCGATTACTGCAATTAACTGCGGCACAGCCAAGCATTTTTTAAGACGTACTGGCGCTAACGTTCTAGCATTGACAAAATCTTGAAAATTTAATAAATTGTTTCTATCTATTATCTTAACACATGTGCAAAACCTGAAGTCGATTCTCTAACTAGTTCACGAGTTATTCAACTTTTAATTTTGCATGAGTTCTTGTGGAAAAGCAGCATATTCCTACTTATATCAACAAAATAATAAAGAAGCAGCATTGCCAATATTCTGAAACTTTGTTTGTGAGTAAATAAAATACTGAGCAATGTTCCTAAAAAAAGTTCATATCAATTCACTAACCCGTTATCAAGATATTAATTAATAAAGCAACGCAAAATTTCGAATTGGTTAGAAGTCACACTTCGACAGCTCGAAACGTGGCAACAGTGTCGCCGCGCATGATAGCACGACTAGTTTCCAGAAGGGTATATAATGATTTTTCGAACTTATCACGATCCTTGTGATATTGTGCAAATTTTTAATTCGGTAAAAGGATATATTAGAGAAATATCTTTTTTTCATAATGTTTTTATATTTTTACGTATAAAATATCAACAAAAAATAAAAAGTTAATAAACACAAACAAAAGGATTCAATAGTGTCATTTCGTCAAAATATAAACAAATAATATGTATCTTATAATGTATATATATATATTTTTTTTATATGTATTCTAATCTATAATATAATATATTTATAATACATTTTTTCTAATATACTGTTATTTGGTATATTGCTTTCTTTTCGTGTGTATAATCCTTAGTTTTTTTTTTCAAACCAATCAACAATTTTCGTAATTACCTTTTTATTACTTGTAATCACAGATTTACCATTTATTTTCTTTCCAAGTATTTCGGTTATACCAATTGCACCAGAAGTTCAATAAATTTGTTTGAGACTCTCAGTGGTTAGTGAAGCTTTTGCCATTTTTTTGCGAAGATTTTCACC